TTCTGGGATCAAGCCCCACTCCCACAGACTGCTGCTAAGTTCAGATTCATGGGATGCGTCCTCCGAAGGCCAGATTTGTAGGCAGATTACGTCATAGCATGGTGCCGAGGTCTATTCGCGTGGTCCCTGTGCCTGCAAGGACAAACATTCAGGGGATATCCCCAATATGGCCTCAGCCAGGTCCACAGGAAAAGAGTGAGGGAGGTGGGTTCACAAGGTTTTATAAGCAGAGGTCATAGATTAGTGAACTGCCTGTGATCCAATCTGGACAAAACCTGATTTTGAAAATTTAGATATTACTGCATGTTTTCCAACAGTGTCTAACTTGGTCGGTTTGCCAAATTGCAGTTAAAGCTACAGTGTGTAATAATTACAGGGATATACAGTCAGAAATGTAATATATTATACATAACTATGTTATTTTATCATCATCTATGAGCACAGCCTCTTAACCTTAATATTTGCGTTGCCTTAGAATTCGTTATTTATAATTACATAGGAGCGGGTCTCGCAGCCATGGAGGCAGACATCTTTGCGCTACGGCAGCGCAGAGCAAACAAACTAGTGACTGCGAGATCGCCAAAATGTCACAACGATGTAGAAAAAATAACGGGTATATTTATTATCTTAAGTCTACATGAAATCTATACCCTACACAGACTAATGAAATACTATCTGTAAAATTATCTATGTAAACAAACCTTATCACTTGAGAAGGTAGGTGATGCGGACGTTGTGGAAGACATTTTGTCCTGTAACGCTCGCCGTACTGTTGGGGGGGAGAAGCTGTGGGGGGGGAGATGTTCATGTTGCTGCAGTCTGCAGTCTGACCGCTAGATGTCGCTAAAAGTTACACACTGTAGCTTTAAATAAAAGAGGAAGAACAGAAAATTAGTATTAGTATTAGGTATTGGCCCTATCACAAATCAGCCCCTAAACGCTAACCCTGAGCACTAACCCTTCATTTGCATGTTTCCGCAGAGGGTCCGCCACATTAGATGCCATCCCAAACCACATAGTGGGTAGGGCCAGTGAAACATTCAGCCCTTAAATAGCGAGTCTGCATCGGTTGCAGGCTCGCTGGAATTTGACAGCAAGTGTAACAGTGGCCTTGTGGAGGAGGAAATACATTCCACCAAATGTTAATTCCGTTGGTTTGCTGCATCTTCATCACACTGACAGAAAATCACAAGTTAGTTTATACAAAAAAACTTAATTATTTCCAAAATGGAGGGTCCCCTTTGAAATAGTTGTATTTGACTACATAAATTTGTTTTTAAAAAGGGGCAGACCTTCAATAAAGGCACCTTCCACAGCTGTGAGTATGACTTTATTGTGAGTGCCTCTTGATTGTTAACGGTTAGTGGTAAGGGAGCAGTTTGAGATCCAGCCTAAGAGTGCACTGTTGAAAGAAGCACCGTGAACTGGAGAAAGCACCACCATGCTCACAATTAGGAAAGTAGAACCAGGAAACATTGCAATGGACCGGCGACCTGACCAGGGTGTACCCCGCCTTTAGTCCATAGACTGCTGGGTATATGTAGGCCCACCAGCCCACCGCGACCCTGACAGATGAAACAGGAGAAGATGGATGGATTGACACAGAAAACACATCTTTTAAAATAGATTTGACTGATACGCACCTGTTTGTCGTGTGAGATGGTAGCACCAAACCAGATGTTTCATTTGTTCCGATGGCACAGTACGATTGCCCATCCAGAATCATGGTCATTCCTCAGCAATGTGTTGATGAGTGTTCTCTAAGAATTGTGTTGATATTATGATTACATAAAAAAAGAGTTCAGTGATGCGATAGTTGACCGAGAATGTATGAATACAGGTGCTGTGGCAGTGCTTCATAGAAAGCAAATAGTTTGCCAAAACATAAACCAAATCCCTTTGACAGCAGCATCAACCATAAGTTAAACAGAAATAGTAACATGTGATGTACTAGCAAAGCTAGATCAGGTGGTCAAAAGGTAGAAATCACTTTGGCTGTAGATGAATCCACTGATATAACTGGCAATGCCCAGCTTGTGGTTATTTTGAAGATTCTATAACAAAAAGGAAAATACAATGTTTGAAGATCTGTTAGGTGTGGCATCTCCAGAGAGTAAAACAAAAGGGGAAGATATCTACCAGGCAATACAGAAAATGTTAACAGAAAGGGGAATAGATGTGAGTAAAGTGGTTTCAATCACAACAGATGGAGCCCCGGCCGTGTTGGGGAGATCAAAGGGAACAGTGGAAAAAATAAAGAGGACCACCCTGAACAAATCTCTTATCATTGTATAATACACCAATCAGTCTTTTTTGCCATTATCTCAGATCAGAAAGGTCTGCTGATGTGATTAACGCAATGATGAGAATCTTCTCTGCAACATTGCCTGCTAAGAGAGTTCCTGAGAAAGAAGTTGAAGCACTTACTGGCTGTCCAGAAATGAGTTAAGGGAGACACGAATAGATGTGTTGAATTGTGAACAAAGTGATCAAACATTTTGGGAAACGGTTTGACAGTTTCAGGTGTAGGGTGAACTGGAACTGGCAGATCTTCAGTCCTATGTGGTATTAAAAGGACAGGTTGGGGTGTGTGATGCTAAATCTTTCCGTATCCAAACAGTCTCAGAGAAAAAGATGGACCTCTATATTTTTGAGTATGTTTGTCTCAACCTACTACTTTGAAGTAACATTCTCCACCATGACCATAGTCAAAAATAGATATAATTCCAGGCTTACCAACGAGGGCCTTGATATGTGCTTTAGAATGGCTTTGTCACTGTTCAAGCCCAGCTTTAAAGTTCATGCAGGCAGCTTAAACCCCATTTCTCTAATGAAGCTGGGGAAAAAAAACAGCTAGTTCAGGGGGGGGTTTTTTGTTTTTTGTTTTAAAAAGATGTTAGTTGTGAAAGTCAGAAAACTGTCTACCACATTAAAGGTTTTTGTTCTCTATTTTAAGAAAGCAGAAAGTTGCATTTTAATGTTATTCTTTTAAGTGAAAAGTTAAAGCACATATGGTATATAAACAAAAAACAATGTATAACTGAATTTATTGTGTTAAATAATAATAATTTAACTTTATTGATCTCACATTGGAGAAATTCACCTCTGCATTTAACCCATCCCCTTGTGGAGCAGTGGGCTGCCATCATGGGGCGCCTCGGGAGCAATCGGGGGTTAAGAGTCTTACCCAGAGACCCAGAGCATCATTTTTAAATGCTTGTAAAGTAAACTAATTCAAATAAAAGATGTCACCAGACTTTTATTGATTATTGATCTCCTTTGCTCAGACCCTGCTGATTCTTAATTGGTGACTCCTGCTTTAAGTCATGCTTGGCAGGGGGTCTCAGGATGTCCTTTGAAACCTCTTCCTTTTGGGAGTGTCTTATGGAGGGCTCTCAAGTTGAGAAAGCAAACCTACATCCTGTTTTTAAAGTTGCAATCCTATGCTCCTTTACAATTCATGCTTATGTTGATCTCGAGAATTGTGTGGCCCAACACCATTATTTACTTTGCTTGCTCTTGCATGGTTTTTTATACTTATGTGTCTCCATGTTGCTGTGTGATGGACTGGTGATCTGTCCAGGGTGTGCAGATCGCCATTCAAGCTAAAATAGCACAAAAGGGTCGGGTATACATGTGCGAAATCAGTCAACCCTTTGGTTATTCTGTATTAAACAGCATCAAATGTTAAATATGTCTAAATACTATGGAATAAAAATGCTACTAAAACTTTTGGGGGCTCTTCCTACATTAGATCTGGACGCGTAGATAAGAAAATGAATTCTTCTGCATGTAGACAGTATTTTTTATTCTATTTTTTATTCATATATCCTTTTCTGTACTTGTGAAGATCTTTAAGAGTCAAAGTGAACTGCGTGTGTATTTTGAACAGTTTTATATACAAGAAGAAGAACTTGTATGAGCAGTTGTGTAACCCTGTTTTGGCTAAATTATGGGGTTCTCATTAGACAGAGTATAAATATTTGCATGTGCAGGGCAGATCTTGCTGTGAAAGCAGCTTGCTGCCTTTGAACAATAAAAAAAAGAAAAAAATCTGCTGCTTATCAGCAAAACAGAGTGGCTCCAAATTTGGGAAAAGAAAGAAAGAAGGAGAGGAACAGATGTTGCGGATGAAATGTGCGAATGTGCAGGAGAGAAATAGAGTCCTTCATTCTGAGCACGTCTGTAGTGAAGATTGTAACAAGTAAGACTTTTAACAGAAGGACTACATAATTGTGTTAGCACTCAGCCCACTCAGAGGTGCTGTTCTTTTTGAATGTCTTCTTATACACTCATGCATGAGCCATAAGTCTCTCCTAATCAGTTATCCTCACATTTTCAGCACACGAGTGAACGCAAACTGTCAGTTAGATTTCAGAAAGACTGAGGACAGCCTGTTTGCCTCTTGACATCTCTTCCTAGCTCTTACCCATGTGACCTCGCAAAGCAAGACAGGCACTATTTCTGAAAGTAGAGATTTATGAGTGAGCTAAGACCTTTTGTCCTCCAGATCCTTCTGTAGGGCTCTACTCAGATCCCTAGAGTTACGGCTTTCCAACAGATACAGACACTCAAGAGAAAGAAAATGCACTTTGCTTAGAATGTAAAGTTTATGAATTTGCAGTGACAGAATGACATCATATTTAACAGACTGATATTAATGCTACAAAAAGAAATGTTATTTTATGGCAAAACATAGAAAAAGTTCTGCAAAAAAAATTAACTTCATTAAAATTTGAATTACAAATAAAAAAAGAATACCTTTTTTATTTTATTTTAAGAGGCAGGTTGAGGTTTTTATGAAAAAAAGGTTTTCATGATTCCTGATTAGGGTTGAAAACATCTGGATTACTTATTATTTGCAAGTATATTTCAGAAAAAGAGCTGATCCCCCTTTTTACTCTGTCTTATTTTTTATTCTCCTGACCCAACCCTACATCTCTTCAATCTATCAAAATGATCTCCATTCTTACCTACTTTGTTTGGTTTGCCATTTACAGGCTATGGCTTTGTGGATTTTGACAGCCCTGCAGCAGCCCAGAAGGCTGTGGCCTCACTTAAAGCAAGTGGAGTCCAGGCACAGATGGCGAAGGTAAGCTTCATATCACCCTGCTATTGCTAGTTGGATAAACCTCTGGGTTGATATAGTTCTGAGTTATGAGCCTCAACTACCACTGTCCTGCAAGTTTTAGATTTATCCTCATTACCACATGCCTGACTCATATAAAATAATGATAAACAGGCTTCTACAGAACTTGATGTCTGCTGAGGATGTCATGCAATCAATTAAATCAGGTGTGCTGCAACAGAGAAACATCTAAAACATGCAGAGCAGGGGCACTTAAGTAGCAGACATGAGAACTACTGCTCTAGGAGTTGAGGTTTTGGAGGTTTTAACAAACCTAAGGAAAATTAATGATCATAAATTCAGAAGCTGCTTCATATGATGATGATGATTTATTTTTGAATGACATAAAACGTCTCAATGATTTTTTGCCTTTACGGTAGTTTATGTTACATTTATTTGTTAGACTAAATGTTAGCGTCATGATGGAGTGAAATAGCGGCGAAATACTAAAGTAAAAAATGTGGTTAACTTCTCTGTTATTGGAACTTTAAATTCAACTAGAAGTTGAATTATAAAACATTAAAGTTTATTAAAAATAAATAAATAAAATAATTAATTAAAATGATTACACATCTGAAAACATACGCTAATCTGCACCATTTTAATGTGAATGGACAAGAAAGGTGCAATATATTTATGTAGATGTGTGTTTGCTTTTTTTGTTTATGATTAAAGAACAATAAAGAAAAATAAAGAAAAATATGTTTTACAACAGAAAAAATAAATACTAAAGTTAATCATTGCTTTTTAAAAAAAGCTTTATTCTTCCAAAAACAACCGGCATACTCTTTCTTCTGTTTTGCTACTTAATTTCCACAGTATTCTATAATATCCCAACAGTTTGTTAATTTTTTTTGTTTGAATATAAATTCAGTGTGAACTCATCTGGCTTAGTTATACCCCTCAAATATGTTGACATCTTATAATGTTACCCATAGAAGCATCTATCTGTGTATTTTATGTAATGGAGCATGGAGCAGAATGAAAAGATAACTTTTTTGTTTTTAGTCTCAAAGTTACAAAAGGTGTGATATTTCCATGAACCCTGCAGTCTGACTCATCACTTTTGATAGACTATCATGTATTACTGTAGTAGCTAGACAGTTCATATGGGTTCATAGGTCATATTTTATTTTTGACATTTTATTTGTCAAAAAAAATATAAACAAAAATAAATAAAAAGCTAGCATCACATCTATTCTACCTCTTCGCCATTTGTTGCTTTGTGCTGGGCGGTGACATCAACTCACAATAAAATACATGGGTTTCATTCAGTCTTTACAGAAAAAAAAAGACTTAAATGGATTGGAATACCTTTTCAAAGCAAACTAAGTGACACTTAGACTGAACAGAGTGGTGGAGACATAATGTGATGAAACTGGAAGTTAGATTACTTTATTGTTCTTTCACATAAGCCTTAGCTGACAATATTGGCACACTCATTAATCTTAAAAGTGGCAGTATGGGGAAACTGCTTCATGTCTGATAGCTGCTAAGCCTCGGATATAAAATATTTTTCCAATAAACTCCTATTAAAGACTGAGACATTCTGTAATGACACACTCAAAGACAATGAATTTTACCCACAAGTCATTATGGTGTCATTAGCAAGAGCGACTCACTCCTGCTAATCATTATGGGCCACTTGAACATCATCCAATTATTAAAGAGATATTAAGTCATAAAGATTTCAAAGATCTGTCAAACGCCTTTTGCACAGATATGGTCAAATCTGACTCCTACGCTTCCAAGTACAAAGTTGAAGACCTTTAAACAGCAGCTCACAGTGAAATATAAATGGTGAACATAGCCATGGGCACAATTTGTTCGATGCCTAAATTGTAAAGGGAAACTACTGTTAAAAATTACGTAAAAATATTTCATTAAGGTGTTTCTTTATACATGTGTTGTGAATGTTGTTCTGTACATAATTGTGTGGCAGGACGACATGTACAGTATGAAATAATGCTACTCTATATAAGTTTGGCACCTGTGCCTACAAAAGTGAAAAGGTTGTACAAGATACTTTCAGTACAGATATCAGCTCTGTCACATATGAGCAGTCACTTGTAGAGATGTTTAATCACTTGAATATTTTGGCCTGGATGAGACAAGTGCCCTACTTAGCTGGGGCACAATTTCTGCTAAATTCATCCATATTAAGGAAAAACAAAAAACTCTTTGTCATCAATTCCACACCCAAACATCATGATATTTGAGCGGCTTTTGTTTGAGTCGCTGTAAGATTCTGCACCAGCGTAATTCCACAAAGCAGAAGACCCCCTTCTTGCCCCTCTCGCCTACACCAGTAGTGTAGTGGTCCCTGGAGAAGTGGGTATACTCGCCCTCTTTTTTAATGCAGCCCAGAAAAAATGACATGTAAGACCACTCTATGTAGTCTACCCAACACTTCCTTTGTAGAATTTACTTAATGTCATATAATTTCTGCTATTTGATCTCCGGCAGGAAGGATTATGAAATAACCAAACACTGGCCCATAGACTAGTGAGAAACAATTATGGATAGTGAGTGGACTATTCCTTATTCCAGAGTCCATCCACATGGATGACACCTATTCTCTCACTTAGCAAGTCAGTATTTTATTTTGTGAACTGTGTCTTTGAGTAGCTGACTGGCAACAGTTAGTGTGGGCGTCTATTAAAATGAACCTAACTTAATCAGATTCTGTGTGACCAGTTTGTTGGAATTACTGGTCACACATGAATATAAAATACTAATGAGGCAAACATGGTGTTTCAGTAATTTTTTATTTTTTTTATTTAAATAACAAAATTAGATGTGAATCTGACATCCCTGTTCATACTTCAGCTTAGATTTAAAAATAAAAACCAAACACATCAAAACAAATTGGATAAACTGAAAATTTGATAAACTCTTAAACATGAAATAAAGACTACTTTAATGTAATTCATTGGATATATATATATATATATATATATATATATATACGAGCATATTAAGATAATGGCACAACAGGTATACGATTATTTATGTATAAATTCATTGTATATATATATATATATATATATATATAAG